ATAAAGTGGTTTCAGAGACGTTTAAATGTGATTGCTAAGATTTGGGGGTACATGAAGTGTCAAAGGTCATAATGTGGTCCTAAAATTGAATACACAGAAACATAACATGCTGATACCACATTCTTATGGCATCCTATATGTCCAGATGATATATTACCAAAGGGCTAACAAAACTTCCCACGGGACAATAAAGCATTTTCTTCTCTTCTCTTAAAAGGGTTCAGCAGTTTGAATATAGCAGCCATGAACTATGAGATGGCTGTTCAAACTTTTTGAATTAATGCAGTTGAGAGGGTCTACTAGTTTTGTTATCATCAATGCATAGATTCAATGCAGCAAGTGGTTTCAAGGCCATACAGAAAATACAAACATCAGTGACGGACAAATGACCAGTGAGTGAGTGAGTTGGGTTTTATGCTCCTTTTTAGCAATATTCCAGCAATATCACGGCAGAGGACACCAGAAATGGGCTTCACACATTGACCCTTGTGGGGAATCTAACCCGGGTCTTCTGCATGACGAGCGAACACATTAACCGCTGGGCTACCCCATTGCCCCAACAGTGAGTGAGTGAGTTTAGCTTATGCCGCTTTTAGCAATATTCCAGCAATATCATGGTGGGGGAAACCAGAAATGGGCTTCACACATTGTACCCATGCTGAGAATCAAACCAAGGCCTTCTGCATTAACTGCTAGGAGATACCCCATCACCCCAACCAATCACCAGTTGCAGTTAGTCATGTTATACAAACTGTTGGCCTAGATGATGTAGAAAGCACAGCAGGAAATGATGAACAGTACATAACATATTTGTTATAACATACATGAGTTGGATAGTGTGATTACACTGCTAGTTGGATCTACTGAGAAGATTACTGTTGCAGATTTGATAATTGTGCAGAATACCTATTATTTGCCTGAAAATATTATCAAAATGTATTGTTACACAAAAATGAAAAACATCACTATGTGGTGGTGCGTGGTCTTGTGCATAAAGCTCAGGACACAAAACAGTTGAAGTTAAGCAATGTTTGTCACAGAGAGTCCTTGGATGAGTGACCGTGTTTGGCAGCTGGACTCCTGAGAGTTTCTGGGACTTCTGTCCTGCCCCACAATGAAGCACACATGACACATGTGGTTTCACCTTAGACAAGAGAGTTTGTTCAAAATTTCCTCTGTTCAACAAGCAGAAAATGGGTACCAGGTTGGATAAGTCATCTGACTATTATCCTTCTAGCACCTAACAGGCAGCCTGGGTTATCCGGGATAATAATGTCCTTTATCTTGTGTGCGCTTAGAGTCATGCCTGTCCAGCGTGGAGTTCAGGACTATGTAAGTGGCCTTATTAAGTTATTATTATCATTATTTACAATACCCTGAATTGTATTCAAGGATAAAGCAAGGAGGTTCCATAAACTGGTCAGAAAGATATACCTAGTTGAATACAATGAGTCAGGTCCGTAAATAGTGATAAGAGGTTTCTTAGAAGATTTTGATCATTATTGTGCAAATAATCTTGTCAAACATGCTTTTACAAATCTCACTTGCCATTACATCTTTCAACAAGTTAAGTACGTTGAGTAAGCTATCTGACATCAGGGGATGTTAGTTGTCTCTTTAACAGGGTATCGTGCACATTGCCAAGTTTACATGCGCATGTCTTATCACTCCAGCTATGTGTTCAGTCACATTCTTCAGTATACATTTCACACCATTTACAACAGCTATATGTAATGGTTTTCGTCAGAGGTTTAACACATGTCCAAAGTTTTGTAACTGTCAGATAAACGTTTCTGGATCAGGAGGAAAAGGAAGATAATTCCTGAAAAATGCTTTGTGAAGAAAAATACTTAACAGCATGTTGTGACAGTGAATTGCATTGGTTGTTACAGCAGATGTGTCTGTTTGGCTCTCGAAACTTTCTGTTGGATTTAGACATGGTCCTTTTTTTAAGGACATCATTGTTATCTAAGAACTTATTCATTAGCAACAGATATTTGTTATTAGATATTTGACCATTTGTGTCTTTCTTTCACTAATGGTCTTAATGTGACATCATCTTAATGACATGTTGTTAACATATAAGCAATCCATGGTGTGAAGTTAGATTTTATGAATGCTTTATTCAGTAGTACATGGTGACCACCTACAGATTTTGTGGCTATTCATTCTTCAGAAGCTAACTTTATACCATGAATCAGGCTGAGGATGTAGGGTTGTAGTAGAGTTTGGACATGGTGCCATCAGCTGTTTCGTCAGCTCAAACCCAGGGAACGGGCTGAATGGAAAATACTGTTGTGAAAAACATAGTTTTCAAGTGATCTATCTACAAAAACTATATTATAAACATTATGATATAATTTTTTTAGTAATATCTATCCAGTAGATACTTGAGTTGTGAAGATCTAATACAGGTGCAGTGTGCAACTTTATCTGAGTTCACTGAAAGTTCTTTGGTGCAGCTGGTTCCACAACCAATAATAACTGGTTATGTCCTGATATTAATAGACCGCCTCCGTGGTTTAGTGGTTAGAGCGTCCGCCCGGAGAGCAGAAGGTTGCGGGTTCGATCCCCGACCGCGTCATACCAAAAGATGTTAAAATATGGTTCTGGTTGGTCTCTGCCTGGCGCTCGGCATTAATGGGTACAACAAGGACTGGTCGGCTCAGAGTCAGTATAATGTGTCTGAGTGGGGTATTCATGCTTCACTGCGGCATGGTATCTCAGTGGGCTAGCACTATAAAACCAGCTTCAGTCTGGGCTAGTACAAGCAGCCGCACATACACATACACACGCATGCACGTCATCATATGAGCGAAATATTCTCAAGCACAATGTTAAACCCAATTTCACCTCACCTTACCTGATATTAATAACACAACTAATACTGATTCTGAAAGACATGTTATGGTTATTAGTCTTTCAGAACATTTGGCACAGACTGCAGGGGAACGTTATTTTTAGAAAGTCTTACATTAAACTGTTCAGACCTGCCTGGTTGTTGCTTCTACTTTATTTAAGGGGGGCATCGGGGTACCCTGATGGTTAAAGCGTCCGCTCATCATGCTGATGACCCGGGTTTGATTCCCTATATGGGTTCAATGTGTGAAGCCCATTTTTTGGTGTCCTCCACCTTGATATTGCTGGAATTATGGCAGTAGCGGTGTAAGACCATATTCATTCAGTTATTTACTCTACATTTAGGATGTTCATATATCATGGTTAACATCTGAAGTAAGTAGTCCGAGACACTCCTTAATGTTCTATACAGCACAATGACAATTTGGTTAGAATGATCTGACCATGTTTTCAATAAAGAAAGCCTCATTGGTTATATGAAAATAACCCCTAAAGAGGACAAATATCCCAATACGCCTGTTCAAACATGCTTTTATTCTTCTGGATTTCGTTGATGAATGTTGTCAAATGTTAAAAAATTGACGTGTGTAATTGTTTACCATGCTGTCATAGAACATAAGGAGATGGTATGTCACACCTAAAGCAGATCTACTCAAGCAAATGATTACCTCTACAGAGAAGGTCTTTGTTGACACATTCCAAGTATAGTGTTGTAGAAGGACGACTCAGGCTTGGATAACATTTTAAGTAATCACTGAGAAATGTCATCTGGTGTCATCAAATTCTACAGACTTGATGAAGCTAGACAGTATGCTTCACTCACAGTGTATGAAGTGTCACTGATTTTACCTGATCAAATAACCTGTTGATGATGGAGCTCTGTTTGCTTTGGCAGCTGTTACCAGTATAGTCTTTCATGGCAGACATGTAAGTTCATGTATGTCATAATACAGTGAACAGTCATTGACAAGGCTGGGGAAATGCTGGCAAAGCGTGTTTACTTAACTGTGACTACATGAAAAAGAGATGCATAGAACAACACCTCAGGGGTTATGTATTCATTAAGGTTTGGTGTTATCTTTCAAGTGATGGCTGTTTTATTGCTGTTGTACATAATGTGATACTCAACTTTTGGCAGTCGTGTTTCCTTAGGCACACGCATTGAAAGAATATATTACACCGTTTTTCTGCATTGTGCAACTCTGAAAAGTCAGGTTGGATACAAACATGTTATACATGAATATACATGTATAGAAACGTATGCATACAGTATAATTTGAAAGAAGTCATGCAATCTGGTGCAGTGGCACTGGATGTAGCTGAATCTCATTGATATGAACATGTTATACATTATACCTGAATATATAGAAACATATGCAAACAGTATAATTTGGAAAAAAGTCATGCCATCGGGTGCAGTGACACTGGATGTAGCTGAATCTGATTGCCCTTCCCTAGTGATCTCATTCTCAGATAAAAACTTTAAAAACACTTCCAGTTTGTTCACATTTGATGTTGGGCCAGGCAGAATTAGACCAGAGATATGTTCTTGGTAATGTGGATGGGGTGTTCATGTGTGTGAAAAGTTGAATACTGTCAGCACATGATTCCATGACATTTGATTGAACAAGGAAGCCAAATTTGTTTGGCAAGAAGCATACACAATATATTAAGTTCCTTGCCCACTAATGAATTACTAATTCTTGATTGATAATGGTGTTAATGATTAGAAAAATCAGTGTCTAAAATAATACTGTTGATGACACAGTCAGACCCACATTATTTCTACCAATCTTCAGGTTTGTCAGAAATGACAGACTATGGTACTGGTACCAATATTTGAACATTTGTGAAGTTTAGAACATCGAAATGATTGGGATAATGACTTACACTAATCAGAATTTGCATTACATGATATTATGAATAGTGTGAGAATCTGAAATGGCTGACAAGGCTTTACAAGTGACTATCTATAACAAATTTCACCAGTCCTTTGGACCGTGTAGTTTGTTTGTACTTGTTCCAGAAATAGATTAGATCAAGAGTCACAAGGACCCGAGATGCCAATGGCACCATCCAAACTAGAGAGTTCATATGATGTTGCTTTATTCCTGTAATTACTGATCTGTATTTTGTTTCAGAATCCTTGCAGTTTACCAACAAACGACAAAAAAATCCATCTTTCCTGGCAGCCACTATCAACATCACTGTGCGAGAGGGAGATATGGCCACTTTGCCCTGTGCAGTTAAAAACCTTGGCACAAGACAGGTAAGTCATTGTGTGAAATATATTTCCGGTGGATTCAGACATACAGGTGGTTTTGTCGGTTATTAACATTTGATGATGATTAACAGTTGCTGACAGATAGGTTATACCGTTATGGAATTTGTAAGTTTTTTTGTTAACGCAGCACTCGTGAATATTCCAGCTATATGGCAGCTGTCTGTATATAATTGAGTCTGTTCCAGACAATCCAGTGATCAACAGCATGAGAAATTGAGATACGATGACATCTATCTACCAAGTCAGTGAGCCTGACCACCCGAACCCATTAGTTTGTAAAGATCCTGGGTTTATTCACATCAATCAAAGATAATCATTCATGTTATTCAGCAGCTCTGTTGAGAAATGAATTTGAATCCCACATGTTCTTCTTGAATAAGCTACTATCTTGTACTGTCATTGTGTTTAGGGGGGTTTCAGTGCAAATGGACTTGTTATAAATTTGTTGACAACTTTCTTTGTATAGGTGGCATGGCGTCGTCTGGCAAATGGGCAGGTTATGACAGTGGGAACACTGACATGGATAAAAGATAAACGGGTTTTTGTGGACAACAAGATTCGCCATGAGCAACCAGGAGTTTCAGATTGGAATCTACTTCTTAAAAATGCTCGTCAGAAGGACAGTGGTGTTTATGAATGTCAGATAACAGACAAGAAAAAATTTAGTAGAAATATCACATTAACAGTTATTGGTAAGTATTTTGTATAAGATTGAGAGAAATGTTAATTGGGATCAAGCATTAGTTGTTTAGTAAACACAGGCAGAAAAGGGATATAAAAAACTAACAGTCTAATTATCCCAAATTTAAAGGTTATTACTGACAGTAATCCCTGAATCTGATGGTTTTGAATATTATAGTTTGGGAAGTAAGACATCTGCCATTTTCAACTTGCTTGTTGATTTCAGTTGAAATTTGCATGGATATTAGTTTCTGTGGAAAGTTCAAAATTGTGAAAAGCCACAGCAGCCATATTGAGAAAGCTATTTATGACCATTACTCATCCATTTTTGTTCAAACTTTCATGAACTTTATGTTTGTTTAGTTGCTAGTGTTATTCAAAACAATGTTCTTTTTGTAATTTATTAAAAGATTTGACCTAGATTTGAAATTTTATGTTTTGACCATTCTGTTAATTTTTCTTGTATATGTGTAAGATTTGGATCACCTTTAGAATTCAGTACCACAGCCTCTCATGAGAATGATCCCTGTCACACACCACATATATCAATCTGATCAGTTACCACCAGAACCCAAACTCATGACCTGCAGACTATTAGCCTCATGTGTCAACTGACTAATCTACATCCACACTGTTAAACTGAATGCAGATTAACCTAGTCATGCCTGTGAAGGTTACTGAAATAAAGGGAAAGGGATGAAGTGGCAACAGAAACATACAGAGATTACTATTAGCCATGCTGTCGTGTGACTTCAGTCTACTGACACTCGTGATTGGTCACATGTCCAGATTAGTAATCTCCAAGAATCCAAGAAGTAAGGAATGAGCCAACATGGAGCAAACTGATACATTTCGAGGAGTCAGGTGTTGAGTTGATGAGCGCAGAATGAATGAGAGGGTATTTAATCATCCACTAGATGATTTTGTTACTGAACTATGGAAGGAAACACTACATAGATAACAAGGAACAGTTTTAACAAGGGGAGTTTATACATTGCTGCGGAGTCTTTCATTATACCTGAACAAATGTAGCAAATGGGTTAATTGGAACTTCTGTGATGGTTTCCTTCAGCCAACATATTCAACATCAAATCACTTACTACTCTGTCAACAGTTTTGTGTGAAGAATACATGCAGCAGAACATTTGAAAACAATGAAATGAGCAATTGGGAACCAATGACGTGTCAACCAAGTCAGCGAGCCTGACGACCCGATCACCTTAGTCGCCTCTTACGACAAGCATGGGTTACTGAAGGCACCCGGTGATATGAAATGCATGAGAACAGTGGTACAACCCTTTTTAGCTCCCAACATAGCTTATATCCATTCATGTGATCACAAACCGGATTGAATCATAGCAAAACAATGTTCTATGGTACATGAACTGTTTGAACTGGAGATGTTTGGATATTTTAACAAGAGAAATACCTAATACACTGCATTCTTCTGCACAATAAAAAAGAAATGCTGAATTAAAAATAATATGTTAAGGGTTAATGTATATTCATAAATTTGCTTTTGTAATAATATATGCACCGCAGGCTGTATGCTGTAGACAAATGATGAAGATTCTCACCTAGCTCGGCTTAATCAACAATTTTGTAAGGTCCCCAGAATGGACCTTATGCACAAATAATGACCCAAGAAAATTGTTGCTGGAAAGATATCACAGGACATTGCTTCACAGTTTATCATCCAATAATATTTTATGAGTTGTGTCACAGGTTATTGTACGTTATATTTTTGTGCCAATGATTTCTAAGGGTAGCGTTAACTTTCTCTGAAATTGCCAGACTAAGGAAGTTGTACTTTGCATACGTTTCTTCTTTGTTCCCAAATCATAAGGATTTGTGTTTGAGTCTTTGAGAATTCACTTACAGTGCAATACAAAGCTTGTGAAGAAACCTGGAAAAGAATAAAGGAACACTTGTAGTTTAAGGTGTTCCCTTATTCGTTTCCATGAGTCTAATTTCATGGATGTTGGGTTATTTGTAGCCAAAGATTTTGATATAAACTAGCCACCGAACTATGTATCATGGATTTATCTTGATATGAAATGTTCATGCGGCTTCAGTGTCAGAGCTGCTTTTGATGGAGCTTACAGTAACGAGGATGTGTACATGTTGATCTTTGTTCATGCTTCGACTCGGTGGTCTGCCTGACACAGACTACTTCTATAGGCTGTTGTGATATGGCTCAGAAACTGTTGACTGGATGCATTGCCCCACTCATTAAATTTAGAAATAATAACAACAATCTCATCTTAGAATATTGTATGAGATTTATTAGATCACCCCATTGTTATATCAGAGTCATCAAGACCAAATGAAAGTTTCCATTTCTTTTCTTTGATCTCTTTGAAGTCAATCTAATAATTCAAGTTACACTTGAAGAATAGTTTTGAATCACTCAGTGCATGTCAATATATCACTAAAATAAAATGGCCCAGTGATTTGAATCAAACAGACACTTCAAAAGGCTGATAAATCTGTTCATTCTGCTTTTTCACAGGTCCTCCTATCCGAAAACCCGGCGTAACAATAGAAGGAAAAGAGTTTCCCAACCTTGGGGAGGAAATTCGGTTGACATGCAATGCAACAGGAGGACCTCACATACCAGAGGAAATTGACTGGTTTAAAGAGGGAGATAAAATAGACTCTCATAAATACCCCAATATTTTAATCACAAAATATCGGTCATTACGTGATCAGTCATTAGTCAGCCAACTGATCATTGATCACAGTAGAGAGGAGGACAAGGGCATGTATATCTGCCGCAGCTCGGACGAGGAAATTGCCAGTTTAAAAGTGACAGTTATGGTTGGTAAGTGAACATGGCTTACATCTCAGGATTATGTTAGTGATGTCATCTTGACATTCCCAGATAAGCTTCTCTTAAATTCTTTAATTATCAAATTAAAGACATATTTTCCTGTAAAGTTACAAATAAAAATGCACCATTCAACATCGTTGACTCCCATAGGGCTCATTAGTTATAGCTGCCGTGCATATGAAGATGCACAGATTGTAAGTGGATGGTGATTATTATATCATCAGCTGATGCTGAGTTGATTGACTATTTCCGCTATGGCTTCAGCCTGTGCCAAAATCTTTTGAGACTATAGTGCGTTTGGCTCAAAAGCGAAACAATGAATTGCAATCTAACTCAAAAACTAATAAACATATAATACTCAATGAAACGCTGATCATAATCAAAACATCAGACCAACTCTGTGATTTGTTTGCAGAATTTATGTCCTAAAATTAAAAAAGTTGTTTAACAATCTATCATTAATATATTGATACAGTTCACTATTTGTTACGAGGGAGGAGTGCAGAGAGAGGGACAGCCAGGTGTTAGAGAAGCACGTGCACAAGTGCCGACAAAGTTATTGATTCATTAACCTGTGCTGTGACGTTTCCATCCTTTCTCGCACACCCGGCTGTCCCTTTATCTGCACTCCTCCCTCGTAACAAACAGTGAACTGTGTCAATATTTTAATGATAGTTTGTTAAACAACTTTTTTATTTTTAGGACATAAATTCTGCATTACACCTCTCAGAGTTGGTCTGACGTTTTTATTATGATCAGTGTTTCATTGAGTATTTTATGTTTATTAGTTTTCGAGTTAGATTGCAATTCATCGGTCTGCTTTTGAGCCAAACATACTATACTATCTTAGATGGCTCTTATGGTCATTTTCAGATTTTAGAGTTATTACAAGGACTATATAAAGCTGAGCTTACTAAACTGAACAGACATTTGCTAGACTTTGGTTTTGAACTAGTGGCTAACGTCACAGACTGTGACATGTTTGTTCATGATGGTGTTGATGCCTTTTAATTCATATGTTTGGTTTACATGCTTTTGGCTAGAGGTGTATGGTCAGATAATTGATCTCTAAATAGGTATTTTAGGTCAGTTGAAATAAAAAGGAAAGTGACAAGAGAAAAGGTTCCACAAAGTGGTTAGTGGCATATCAACTAATTTCCATGAGAGAAAACAGTCCAGATGGATAGGGAATAAGACATTTGTACAATTTCAAATTCTTTACACATGTGAACTGTTCTGTGTGTGAATCCTTTAAAAAGTAAAAGTAATTCAAAAGCAGAGTGCCTTCTGTAAGTATGTAACCTATAGTCATCTTCTGTTTGTGGAATAAGATGACTAAAGACACAGATTTGACTTCCTAAGTGTTCAACCAAGACAGAAACCAAAAGTGGTACTCTAGTATAGGTGATTGTTTCTAGGACAGAAAGGGCAGTATGTACTCTATTCTCCCACCACTCCTGAGGAAACAAGACCAAATTTTTAAAGACTCACTGTTCAGATCGAATTATGTCCTTCAGGAGTGCAGAAAAACTTGTGATGAATTATGATCATAGATCATCCAGATTTTCCCTGATCATGTTCCCAGGTTTGTGGCACAATACCCTTGCTTGTGGGTTGTACCAAAGTGGAAAACATTGGAGATCTGTATTACTGTGCAGACATGCAGTCACACTTGCTTAAAACAGTTTTGATCAAGTTACCATTCACATGCATTATCAACATCTGGTTATTATTTGCTTCTATTTTCATCTTATTTTAAATAACCTTATTTATCAATGGTGCAAACATTCCACAAAATTCATGTGAGCTGCACTGTCTTCTTGCTCAATTTAAGTTACGTTGTATCTATTTTTGCTTCTGTTATATATATGCTGCACATGTGTCAAGTCCCGTGTCATCAATACTGACTTCACAAAATAGTGATACTTTCTGGCTGGATATTAAGTTTGATGTTATGCATGCTGTGGGCTGTCAAATTGGATTGGGTTTTAGGGGAGGGGTAGGCATGGGGGTCAGAAGAAAATGACCTCAGTGAAACACAATGGCAAAAAGTATTTTTCAACTTAAGTTGTGATGGGAGGGTTTAAATTCTGCAGTATGCCAAATTTTCTTGTTTATGATCAAAATTCATTCAGGTTATAGGATTGGGTTTTCTTTAGAGGAATCACTGGTAGGGCTGAGAGAAAATGTACAGTTGATTGGTATTTCTACCAAATGCAAATACTTGTCTATATTTCTGCATGTAAAACCAAACCATATTGCATTTTTAAAAATATGACACTAAATCTAGTATGATCATCTTTGACAGAAATAGATAACTGAAGAATTATTTAGAGCAGAAAAAATATGAATAGTTACTATAAAGGATTGTTACTACATTCCATAATTTGTACTTGTAAATGAAAGACATGTCTTTACTTACCTTAGGGAGGATGTTGCTTAGACTAATGGGTTTGATGACCTGAGTTTGATTCCCCATATAAGATTTTTCATTGGGAGGTTGATCACCATCTCATGAATTTGTCCTTCTCTTCTGTTTGCAGCTGGATCAGTGAATAAGAAAAGAGGTAGGGATCTACAGTATCTAGTTTTTTATGTTTTCTTTGGTAAACATGTTTTTCAGATTTTGCTTTTTACCCAACATGTAGTTTTATGTGCTTTGCTGTATATTAACCAAATGTGGACTTGTTTGTTGGCTTATTGTGGTTAGTGCTGTTAAAGACTGGTGCAAATTTGGATGGCATCAAACAAACTGTTTCTGAACTATTACTATTCATTTCATAGTATAAACCTTTTTGTTTTAGAACCTTTGAGAAATGTTTCAGTTAAAGTTCTGTTGTACAGTTTACTGCTGGCATATGAAAGTGTGGCATTGTAAATATGTGCTTTTGAGATATGCTATGATTCTATTGTATTGTTATTTCATTTTTTTCATACACATTTTTAACTTTCAAAATGCCACTAATGTATATATTTTTTTAAATGAATATTTTTCAAAGACTTTTGGTTTGTGTAAAATTGTGGATTATTAAAGTTGTTTGCTGTTTGTCTGCTGATTAGGGTAACCATTAATGCATGTTTTCCCATATGCACCAACAGTTACGATCAGCATAGTACCATTAACATCCTCACCTGCCATTCTGATGAAAGACTGAATGACTTGCATGGTTCATCCCATTGACACAAAACATATTTCATTACTCGTGCTAAGATATATTTCTTTGCATTACCTAATGCTCTCCATGTTTTGTAAATGTGAACCACCTGGGGATGTAATACAAAGGATATGTTTACCCAGCAAATAAGAATGATAGATAAGCCATATATTTGCATAGTCAGGAAATACATTAACACTGAATAGAGATAGTTCATCTACATAGTGACCAATAGAATTATAGTTTCCAGAAGAACTCCTCCCACCCATGTTTACTGTGTGGTCAGTGACTTGTCTGTTTTCAAAATTCTTCATTTCATATTTTCTTTAGTGTGCACTAGTATACTATTATGTGAAGATATTGTGATTTCTGTATAAATCATTGAAAATCACATAACACATAAAATTAATTGCAAAATATAATGAAGTATAAGCAATTTCTATGATAGTGATTAAAAATTCAATTCATTCTTGATCCTCAGTCACTTTGTAGACATTCGTAAAGAATGTTTTATAGATTGAAATCTTCTCAATCTGGATGAAAGCGTTGCCATTAAATCATCTGTCTCAACAAATGTCTTCATAAATGAAGCACTTGGCCAAGTAAACTTTGTATGTATGTAGTGTGCCAAAGTTATCATCTTGTAGAAGAGTTTCCTGATTGCAAGTTTTGGACTTGTAGTGTTTTACTGTAATTGCTAAAACATTTCTGGAAATAGATAAATTAATACCTATTTGTGAATACATGTGTAAAAGCAGGGAAGTATTTGATTAAATTGTGGTTTGAGTTATATTTGTTCTCTTTGTTTGCTGACAATAACAGAAATCACTTGTGACCACATGGTAACCTGGGTGTGACTTGTTGACTATTGCGTGGCTAACTGGTTGACTTTCTCTCCCCGCTGCTTACAGTACCGCGACCCGTGGATCCCAAATCTCAGTCCAACCAGCACGGAGCACGATACAGTCAGTCTACATGTTAACTGTGCTTCAGTATCGTAGTGTTGAGTCTTAGTAGCAATAACCATAGCACTTAGTTTATTTCAAATATTTACCGCAATCAAAGTGCTACAACCAAGAATACTAGGTACAATGAGTGGATAAGTATATCCAGATTTGGTAATAATGATTGCAGCATGCATAGCATTGAATATTTGGCTTTTTAATTTTTAGTTATATTTGCATTCTGTTTTCTTATAATGTGGCTTCAGAGTTATGGAAGACATGTTCCTAAATGTAGTAATATTTGATGTAGCAGGAAGGAGCTCGCTTGGTAAACTATTGTAACACTGGAAATGGTTGTAGCAGTTGATTGGTAGGGGAAAATGTGTAAACACTTTGGTTTGTTTTATTTACTTTAACTTCTTTCACCAGTTTGTTGCACAGTATTTCTTGATAAAATTTGTTCATTGACATCACTATGTCATGTATTAGTATGTATGGAAGGCTATGACAAACTGATTATTTTTTCATTACAGTAGCTACATCTATATATTAAATGTTATATTTTGTTGTGAAATTCTACTGTTAGATATAAAATTGCCAAGTGAATGAAATTCTGAAGTATTGAAGTTCTTTTTGTCAACTCATTGCTGAGTTGGGGGAATAATGAACCAGCACTCATTTTTGACACAAATATCTAGCAATTAATTTCATGAATCCTTAGAGCAAATGTTCTGAAAAACATGTTTCAGTGAATTTCGAAAAACACTTATTTCATAAGAACTCAGTTTCATATCTCAAACAGAATTGATTTTGAAACAATGGCGAATTACATTTGGACACCTGGTCAGTGTTTGAAATTATTTGTAATTGAAAGATTATTTGAAGCATATATTTCATGATTTCTAGTATGTCATGTGCATCAGATTTGTGATATGTACTTCTTCTGGGCATATGTGATATCTTCTTCTGTGCATATAGTGTTTTGTAGTCTTTATGTAATGATTAACACTAATAGAAATGCAGTAGGTGTGCTTTCTGTTCTTGATGCATGCATGTGTTTCTAACAGATAAGAAGCTTCGATGCACTGATGGAGGTTGGCTGTCATGAATTATGTTAATATCCTAGAAATATACATATCAAATGCATGGAAGTAGGTAGGATTTATATGTACATTATGTTTTCTGAATCTAACATAAAAAACATGAATTGCAAGGTTTTGGGGTTTTATATTAGAAACTATGACATCAATCTGTCACCATTTTTTAGCTGTAATTGCATTGCATAACCTTATGACACTTTGACATTAATGAGCCCTACCAGGATAGAGTCCATTTGATCATTTGCATGGTGAGAGACCATGATGGTAAAGTGTGTTAAAGCCAATAGTATTTTCTTCACCTTGTTTTTTAGACATGGAATTTATTGTTCTCTCCAGGGAGAAATAAGATTTGTTTACAATCTGCAAATGGACTCTTAATGTCTTCAAATATTTACCTGTTTACAATTGGTTACAAGTCAGGCTTGTCCTGTCTTTCTTTTGACACAAGCAAATATTTTACCCACATGGGAAAACAGACATTTTAATACAGTTGAGCTGTTTTGTAGGAAATTATTTCCTGGCTGTCTAAGAAGGATGTAAGGCTTACTCAGTTACGATCACACTATATGCAAAAATCATTTCAAAGATGCGATAAGACATTGACATTATGCAGAATCATGGCAAAAATAGAATCAATTATCGCGAGGTATTATCATGTCCAAGTATTTTTTCATTACAGAATTATTCTGTGTTTCAGGAACAGGTTCAGGTTCTACCTATGGGCCACACCAAGGTTCATCAGCCTCTGGGCTCTTGTTGGAGGGATCTGCATGGATTGCATTCTTTGTCTACACGTTGCTATACCCTCTTTGTATGCATGTGATATGATGAGGAGACAGACTGAGGAGATAGAACTGGTGCAATAACAGTGCCTTGTTAAGTTGTTGTGCCCAAGGCACACTACTTCTTGAGGACCATGGACTTGGTGCCACACCATTGGTTGACAAAGTCATGTGACTGTCATGTGATATCAAAATCATTTGGCTCCCTGTATGGTCATATGATGATATGTAATACTGTTTACCTGGGTTAAAGATAAGTGTATATTTTACAAATTTCATAACTTATATTTGTATGTAATGACTTCATTAATGTTAAATCATCTCATCATTTTTGTGTCTCATAATGGGAACTGTTTTGAATATATGTTGCATTTAAGATATCATCATGTGGCATGCAGGCCCAGTCATGTCCATGGCTAGTATCACATGTGATAGGAAATCTCATGCCAGGAACTGCATTTGTTTCAAGTGTGTGATGAAACAACTGTGACAAGTCAAGTGTTTCATGGGAAAAGAACATGCAATGACTCCACACCAATTAATCAAATGAAGACATTACATTGGCTGTGAACTCCAAGCCATGGAGACAAAAATTGTTGAAGATATGAATTAATCACCCTGCTAATCGGAAAAGACTGTATTTTCATAACAACATGATGCATACCTTGGAAGAGGGGTCACACAAACCAATTCAGCTTGTGAGTAGCACTTCAACAGAGAACCACTGGCACCAAAAGGTTTCAAACAGTCTTCGGGAAGGCAGCATGGTGTGATTGATGATGTGGTGAGACTTTCAAATGGGTTGTGTTCAGAAAGGACTTTATACAAAGCTGAGGGAAGTGTGATTAATTGCTGCAAATGATTGACATTATTACCAATATGCATGATTTGTTGCCATCTTACTGCATGGAATACATTCATGAGGCCAAAATGTGTTTGATATTTAAGTTATGGATTTTCTTACGTTTCAGATCATTTCCTGTTGAAAACAATTTTTGCATTTGTCTTTTGCTTCCTTTATTGTTATTTAAATAAATGGTAGAATTGATCCAAAACTAAAATTCAGAGATTTGGTTCAGGAAATTGGCAATTGTTAAATATGTTTGTTATCAACATAAGGTAGGATAAATAAACTGACAAAAGCATCACTCAGAAAATTATTGTCATTCCTCTTAATTGTATTGCAGAATAGTGATGATTATGCTGCAAACCACATCATGAAATGAATGCAATCAAAGATTTAACTAAGTCGGTGCAAAATATTATAATTGTATCTCCCTTCAACAAAAGAATATGTTGTGATGTTTACAGTCAGCTGAAAAATATTGATGAACTGAATAAGGTTAATGTTCCTGCTTTCTTTGGTCCAAACAAGTTTCCTATGAGACTATGAATAAGGAATCATTCACTGTTTTGTGTTAATAACATGTTTGGGGGACAAAAATGTGTAAGCTGAAAGGGGAATATATATCAAGTAGGAATAGTTTTAGCGAAATTCATAGGAAAACAAGCATTCACAACTTGAAAGTCATAAATCTAAGGCATAAACAGGCATTAAACAATTTATACAGGATACAGTAAATACAGAAAACAAGTTCTAACCAGTGAAAATCTGATGTCTTATGTTTATGAAATCTGTGTCTGATCTGATTCCTGCATTCTAGACTTTTCTCACAAACCAGTTATTTGATGATTTTTTTTCATTTTAGAAAAAGACCATTTTTGGAATAACATGATTCTGTTTGAAATGATGTTGCTTTTGGTTATTTCCTACTAAGATATTATTGAAGTGAGAAAGTATGTCATTTCATAGATATTGATCTTGCAATATTGTAGGACAAGGGTCTGGGCTTGCAGTATTTTCATGATGTGCTACCACTAGTAGCATAAAAATCACTATACAAGAATAAAAGGTTTGTGTAATACTAATTTGTGTAAAATAGTTGCATTAACAAAGTTCAGTAGGCTGTTGATCTGAAAGTCTATGATGCAAATTCTGAAGAAATCAATGGCCTTGAGACATGAAAAAAACCAATATGTGATGTTCTTTGTTGTACATAGAGATTTATATGAATATATTAGGAATCAAATGAATACAAGTGTATATAAACCCCTTTGTCTCTGTCAGAATGGATTTCATTCAATCATTTTTATCTATTTTTCCTCATTAAACATGAAGTCTCAACAGACTAATGTTTAAATGTTATAGGTACCAATTTTTAGTGTTGCTTTTCAAGTTAAAGAGAGCTAAAGCTGGCTGTGTGATGATGTTTGCACTTTTGATATTTGTTATCTCAGTATATGATGCACAAGCAAATACCAGATGTGTTGCTTATTTTTTAGCAAACTTTGGTACTGTGTGAATCTGAGATATTCCAAATTGTTACTACAGTTGTTACGAAAGGACCGGCATTATTTTAATTCTTGTGAGAAATTTCTGGGAATTCATCGTTATGTATATTTTTGTTTCTGATTTTCGTGAAATCTTTTTTGTTGAATCTGTGTGAATCAGATTGAAGGACTTAAAGAACAACATGCACAGCTATGATATTGTCTTTAGCTATTGATATCACCATATGAAAGATGCGTTGAAACATTGAAAGTGAAACAGAAGCATTTATTATCCAATATGGATACTGTAATGGTATAGTTAAAAATTATGTGTTATGTGTGAAATACCTTAAGACATAACACATAAGTCTAATGATTGAGGTTGTTTAACATTGTTCGAAAGGTAACAATGTAGAAAATCTATACCACTGAACCAATTCACAAGTAGTACTTTTTATACCTGAAATCACCTGTGAATTGATGGTTCTCCATTGTGTGTCCAGGGAGTATTGTTGAGTTGTAAAGAACCTAACATCCCTGGTTTCCACTGATTTATTTCCACCCACTTCTGTTAGTATTTATACTATCACCTTGATGACTGCTTATGTGTCACCCTACCTCATTGTGTTTATGTTGTTATGTTCAATGAGGAAATGTTATTCAGCTGCAATCACTTGTGCAGAATATACTCAAGTATGTGTTATTTATATTGGTACACATTTGAGTTGGTGCATCAACAGTTTTGTTCTACCTTAGAGTGGGGCTAGTATTCATTTAGCCATTAGTTACAGCAACTACTTCATTTTCAGCATCACCTGTCCATTTGTTCATTGTTTCCAACTGCAGGTGCTTGATTGGCTGTTGCTTGTTATATGATGTGAATATTGGTTAGAAATGATAGGCAAAGCGAAAGAGTGAGTTTTGGGAGATGCAATTGATTACATATAGTATCATATGTGTTAATGTTTCTCAGGAACCACTGCATAATATGAAAGTAGCACATCACTTCATATTCTCATGAACAATTAATCTTGTCAAACACAATTTGAGGTACATCACTTTAAAACAGACTTACGTGTCAAAATGTTGAAAATTCTGCTTTCGTCGAGGCCTGTTCGACATCATACTATTTTTATCACACCTTCTTCATTGGAATGCATGTCTTTCACAGTTCTAAAAGACTTTTTCAGGTATATGTTGTACAGTAAGCTTACAATGTAAGCCACCTGTATGTAGCAAAGCAAACTGAATATTGTGTATCCTGAGTTTCTGCTGAAAGGACAATTGACCATTGAGTTAAAAGATAGACAGTAGTAAGTCTACATAGCATGTAGACAGATGTTTTCCATAGGTTAAAACAAAATAAGAATTTTCAGCTTCATTGAGTAAAAAGAAAGAAAAAATAGAATCTTGTTACAAGAATTGTGATGTAATTGTAAGAATCTAATTGTGATGTAATTCTAAGACAGTAAAAAGAACAAAATTTGTTAACAATTGCATTCAATGTTGAATACATATTTACAAGTCCTGTACATTTCTAAATATATATCTTTGCAAATATTTGACAAAACATTGTCTTCTCCAAAATCTTGTTATATTTTAATTTTAGGGTTTGATCCTATTATTTCGTTGTTATAAAAGGTGAATACAATCATTGTACATTTTAGTAAGTCATTGCCATATCTAATACTTTCAAGAATAAAATTACTCATTATCATTTTAGTAATTCATATTTTGTTGTTTAATAAAAGAGACCCTTAATAGTCTAAACAATGAACAGTACTGTCATAAACAGAATTGAATTCTTAAAGTATCCTAATTAGTGTCATATTGTGAAACAGTGGCAGATTGAAAAAATGCAAGCTGACATTGTAGTTCTCTTGGACAATTACTCACACAATTGAGCTAATGGCATGACTGTGTAAGTGATGTCTGTAAGTTTTCAAATCATATGGCAGATCCTGTTAAAGTACGAATTCAAGGACATTTGTGATCATTATTATGTGGAATAAATTGCTTTGTATGAGAAGAAAAGCCACAAAGACTATGTTTAGGGTTTGATTGTCATAAATATATTTTAGTCTTACACAACAGACATGGTTTCTGAAAAGGATCTTCTCAGTACATTTCACACATATGGTTTCTTGTGAAATTAATGGTTGTGTTTTTCATAATTGCTATAGATATCTTAAACAAATTACAGTTTTTTCCCTTAAGTTACTACCAAAACATCCAGAAAGTCAACAATTCTGGCTGTAGGATCATTTGAATCTTTGCTCTTTGTGAAGCGTTGAAGATTTTACATCAATTATCAAATTATATAATTTTTGGAATACTTTAAATTAACGTGGCTGAGCTATAGACATCTTTGTGCTTGTTTTCAATTTAGCTTGATGAGCAATTCTGCCGAGAGGTAGTGATTTCAAATTGCAGGGTACTTTTCAAGGGTTTTGTAATATTACCTTACCACTTGAAATGTCTGCATGCATCTAAAGTTAATGGGGTTTTCATTAGAGGTATTGATGGAATTTGACCATCACTGTCCTTGTGCTACATTTTAGAAACCATAGGGTGTTTGGAATTGTCAGGGATATTATAAGAAGTATACCTACAACACAGATCTTGTGAATCATCCTAAAGGTAATACCCTCCAAGAAATTGATTTTCTTAGTGGCTATCTCAAGAATGTTTTGTGTAGGTAACTGAAATTTGATATTTCCTACTTAGGATAGGGCCATCAGAAAGGTATAAGAGTGATCTAAGGGCATAGTTACAACATAGGTTAATTGTACCTTTTACAACACCGCAATTTGTGGCAGACATAAGTCTTTTATAAGTGGTAAGGTTGTGGTCTTTAGAAGGTCTGGGTCACTAAAATTCTACCTCCTTGTTGATGAAACACACACTTCTAACAGTTGACTTATAAATATTGAAACATGTCTTTGGCTTAAATTGAATGTAAACGTTATTACAAGTGCATTCAACTCTCTATTTAAGGTAGCTGAGGGCATGTGTCTTTCTGTTGTAAAGTTATACTGTGTTGAACATGGCCTAAGTAGCATGTAACTTTCTTACAAAGGTAGGTAGATTTGAATAACTGTCTATCTTACGCTATCGAGAGGCATGTGACTTTCTGTGATGGGTTAAATTCTAAGGCTTAGAATACATTTTGGTTCCTCATCTATGTGTCATGAGTTTAGGTACTTTGACCAAAGGTTGTAGTAAGCATGTATTTTCCCAAATAGAAGGCAATGGTATTTGATTGGGAATACCTTGTAATTTCAGGTGCCCTCTGGAAATAGAGGTGAAGCTGGTGCTTTGTTTTTTGCAAGTGTTATAAACTCGTTCTAGTTCGTTATTTTTGAAAGCACTTCATTCAAAGAAAAAAAAGTTTCATATGTCTGAGGGCTGATAAGGGAATCCTGCAGTTACCATTTCTGTTGTATATTTGAATCACATAATGTAAATACCTCATACGATTTTTCAACACTATATTTCATGGTATTAAGAGACATAGTCAAACTAATTCTAGTTTTCTATATACATTGATATAAGATTACAGAAATTTACTTTTAGTAGAGGAGACATGCAAAGCAGTTGGCGCAGATTTCAAAGAAGACTAGAGATACTAAGAAAGCTTATAGGCCAAGCAGTGTATATTAATACTATTCATACCATTGAACCATTTCATCTTGTAAGTTATCTGCCCCTGATCTGTATTCTTACTGTGTAGAAACAGATTGGTTGAATAAAATCTTATATAGAAACATGTTTGTGTTTTGTGATTGGTATTCCTGCATATTAATAATAACAGTAATATTGTCTATTTGTTGGGTTCCATCCAGAAAGGTGCATGCTCAAGGCGCTACAATAGTTACAGAGGCGAAGTCCACAGGAGGAGATAGTTCCTGGGGATAGAACTTTCTGAAGAGAAAGGTTTTTAAGGCTGGTTTTGAATGTCTCAAGGGTGGGGGATTCTTTAATGTTCTGATGTCGTGAGTTCCATAACTGCGGTGCTGCTACTTGAAACGATCTGTTGCCGTAGGCTTTAGTCTTGAGTTTGGTGCTGCAAGGAGGTGTTGGTTTTCAGATCTAGACGTCGTGAAGGCTGGTATGGAGAGATCAGTTCTGACAGATAGCTCGGTGCCGTACCATTCAAACAGTGGTAGGCAAAACACAAGATCTTCAAGTGGATCCGGGCTTCTATTGTAGCCAGTGTAGGGACATCAATACCGGTGTTATGAGGCATATTTTTGGTGCACAACTCACACTACGAGCTGCCCTATTCTGTACCTTCTGGAGTCTGTTCAGCAATTCCTGACTCAAAGTGTAAAGAAGCTGTTGCTGTAGTCCATGCAGGTCATCACGAGTTGTTGGACTAATGTCATTGTTACGTCTTTGGTAATAAGATGGCGGATATTACCAATGCTTCTTAGATGGAAGTAGCAGGTCTGGCACACTTGATTAACTTGGGCTTCCATTGACAAAGAAGAGTCCAAGATGGCACACTGAATCCTTGCTTTGTCGGCGAATGGCATGAGTCTCCAACAGCCACTGACGTGTTTTTCAACTATTGGACACGCTGTCTGGGTCCAACATGTAAGGCCTTAGTTTTTCCATCATTCAGCTTTAATCTTTGATGTCATCCGTGTTTTTATTGATTTAGTGCAATCAGTACTTCTTTCAAGTACATCGACTGCTTCGCTTGCTGAGAAACCTTGATATAGCTGGGTGTCATCCCATACGGTCTGATGCTGGAGCTGAGCCTACTTGTGTACAGCACAGACAGGACCGGACCTAACACAGATCCTTGGGGAACCCACAGGGTAGTGTGATACTTTCAGATTTAGTATCACCAATCATAACTGACTGGCGTCTGTCGATCAAATATGAGCGTATCCATGAAAGTTTTATGCCTGATGTGACAACTTCCTGTCGTAGTCGTGCTGTAAGTATACCGTGGTCCACAGTATCAAAGGCTACCGACAGATCGAGCAGGATAAGAGATCCAATGGAACCTTTGTCAACATAGTCCCGCAGGTCGTTCGTAACCCTGAGTAGGGCACTCTCTGTGCTATGGTTCGAACGATAGGCGGACTGGAACTTATTCTCCAGGTTGTTCTCATAGAGATGCTTTGCCAGTTGAAAGTCAAATGCTGTCTCCAGAATCTTGAACATAGGCTCAGGTTTGAGACTGACCGTTAGTTTGCAAGGCATTGCACATCTAAAGTCTTCTTTTTGATGTGTTGTCTTATCAGTGCCCGTTTATGTATATTCGGCGATTCGATGCGTCTCCAGTATCACTATCCACATTATCTAATTCCTCTTTGATCTTGTCCGTAACATAGACACAAAAGTCGTTCTTCGGTGTCTGGTCAGCAAGTGACCAACTTGTGAAAAGCTGGTTGAAGAGCAGCTGAACCAAGTTAGAGATGTCTTCCTTGATGATTTATCCATTGTACCTATAGATAGCTATATATTCTTTCAAATGTTCTCAGACAGCAATGTTATTTTTTATCTTGAATGTTATGTTTTATTTAATGGACTTTTAATGGTTATCGGGACGCTGCAGTAATGTGACAAACATCAAACATATCATAGCTTCATGAACATCACACACCAAATACACTGAAACAACTAGAGACTATATAATGTGTGATCCATGTCCAGGCCCACTATTACGTTTCAGGAAAGTGGTTCTGTTTCATATACAAGGTCAGCGCATGAGGGAAGATTGATCCACGGGGTTCAGCGTTAATATTCCATTCTTTGGTACTGGAGAATTAATGCCATCTGAAGATTGCCTCGGACAGATATACTCTTTCTGTTATCTCCCTGTACCAGACCCATAAACGTAAGGAAAAGGTAAAAGTTATTGTTTCTCATATGCGATCAGGTAAGAATGTCCTTTGTTTTATTAATATAAATTTTGTGAAATGATTAAGTAAATGGATGGTGGAGATGATTTTCAGTTACTACTCATAAGGAATAATGTAACATATCCATTGCCCATCTACAGATTATCCATTCCCCGACTACTGTTTATGCTATGAATACACAATGCCATTATAGAAAGTGGTCAAATGTAACATATGTTATATTTGGGATTACATTTTCTCAGAAAGTACAGATTCTAATACTTCTGTTTTATTCGAACCCTCACTCAGAGTCAGGCACCCAATCTGCATAACTTAATTAGGTTACCTTTCTGAAGTCATTAAAACTATAAGACTGACATTTTCTACCTTCAAAGAAAAGACCTTAACGGTTTAGTTACAATGTACTTCAGTTACAATGCACTTCTGACATTTTCAAATTAATTACCAATTATCAATCATTTACATGCATTAGGCTACACACTACGTCAACCTTGAAAAAATGACCCTTAAGAACGTTTAACGCTTGTGTTACTCATCATCGTCAGTTTGGCACAGAAAGTGTAATGACATCACTCCTCATGGGAGAACTCTTCACTGTTAATGGCGATTTGTATGGCGTATGGTAGCTGCTGGGAGTTCAAATTCTACGCTTTTACAAATACAGGAGAGTAACATCACGTTGCAGCATGTAAAGTTAATGTAACTGACGTTTTGAGGCAGCATAGCATTACTGTACAATTCATATTATATAACAATGCGGAGAAAGCTCAGAGAAGATATGTTAGTGCTTTATGAAATACCGAATACGTGTATGTTACATGTGTTATACTTTGAATTGACACTTTCTCACTGACAGATGAGTGCAGAGTCTCGCACTTGAAGAGGGTGAGTCTCATCCCTGATTCGACCCCACACATAGAGCTAGCGACCAAACTCGCTCAGTCGTCGACTTCCACAAAAATGGAAGTCTGACAACTGGTAGTCTAGATAACGTATTTTGTGTACCCTTCTGACAAGCGTAAACTGGAATGGGTACATATACAGTACAACCAGAACTTATTGAGAATTTAAGATTGTAATTTAAAAAAAAAAATTCACTCATTACTCACGAATTAAATGTGAATATTAGCAGAACATAACTCCAGATTCAAAGACAGGTATTTTGTCAAGTCACCATGGACAGCAATGCAGGATTCAATGCGGCAGGGCATACTACTGATCAAAGAAGTTAGAAAGTCGTGGTCCAGGCTGTCCCAATATCGGACCACCTCTTCCCCAAACATTTTCTATTGGATTTAGGTCAGGGCTATAGCTTGGCCAATCTAATAATGTCATATTTTGGGTCCGAAACCAGGCCTGTGAATGCTTTGAACGATGTTTTGGGTCGTTGTCCTGCTGGAAAATCCAAAAATGTCCATAGAACACGTGAGCAAATGGGAGTAAATGTCCCTCGAGAATATCTGTGTACCGCTCACTGGTCATATTCCCTTCAAAATACACAGAGGGGCGTTGCCCCTAACACAGATATGCCACCCCACACGTTAAATTTCGGACTGTACTTTGGGCGCTGATATAAAGGTTTTTCAGTGTGTTTGGTCCAGAATTTCAGTGTATTAGGAAACAGCCACACAGAACTTTCATCTGAGAAAATCACATTGTCCCAGTTAAAATTTCTATGCTGTAAGCACCAGTTCAACCTTCGCTCCTTTTGTTCAGGTTTCATGATCGGTGATGGAATTCCTCGACTTTTCTGCCAACCCATTGCATGCAGTTCAGTTTTAATTGTCTCCTTACATACAGCCACAGTTCCTCTATCAATCATATCCAGCCTTAAGTTTTCTAAACTCATTCGTTTGTTTTTAGAAACAAGAATACCAAGCCGCCTCCTGTCACCGACAGTCAATTTTCTGGGCCTACCTGCGCCTCCCTGGTGCTCAATGCCATATCCATTTGCAATATTTTTCAAAACACGATAAACAGTGGACAAAGGGATGCCTGTTCTACTTAAAATCACTTTAGCTGATCTGATGTCCTTGTTATAATACTCTAAAATCAACTGAGGATCACTGAAAATGTCGTCTGCTAGCAAGTAAACAAAGGGGGGTAACTCTTCAGAAACTAATGAAAAATGATTAGCGGAGTTGTCTCTCTTGAATAAAACCAAGCACTTGATAGCTGGTCAAGGTTGTTTATACTAGAAATCCAATGAAACCTATTCCTAAAATTCTCAATAATTTCTGGTCATACTATACTGTCAGTGGATAAGGAAGCCCTTGAGTTGCTTGAACCAGACCATCAGTGCTAACATCCACGTTAAATGTTTATTATGCATGTATTCCAGCAGTGTTGGCAGTTGAGTATTCATAGATTATTTTTATCGGCACAATTTCGTGATGTACATGTTCCATATTTTTTCATTTCAGGATAAACAATGCTGTGAATGAACACCAGCTGGGCTTCTGTACGAGCTCGCCCCTGAATTGCACAAGAAGGCGAAGCAGCTTCCGATGCAGATGCTGGTGGCGCAGATGAAAAAGTTACGTTCACAGCTCGGGCAGGAATGATATCCGTTTCACCTGTGGAAACAGTGCATGGGTGGGGAGATCACAGCCATCCATATAGTCCAATAGGATCAGTAGAGGCTATCATCTTAACAAATCTGTAGAAGAATCTTCCTCAGAATAATAAAGAAGCCCTAAATCACACCGGAGTAGTGTTATTAGTTGTTGTTTCAAGCCCTTGTCTTCAGCAATCTTTACCTGAATGTATATTGATGATGATCGACCAGTATAATTCTAGGCATTTTCTGAGGTGGCTCAGGAAGCTCGGAAGATGTACACATTCGGATGCCAGGTTTCCTGGTGAACACTATCCAAATGGAGTCAAAATT